TGCCGGCAGTAAGTCGGGCTCGTTTCTGGTGAGAGTTGAACTCCGCCAAGGCTGCCCTTTGTCACCGATTCTGTTCAGTACTTTCATGGACAGAATCTCTGACCAGCCGAGGTGTTGAGGGGATCCGTTTTGGTGGCCTTAGGATCGCATCTCTGCTTTTTGCGGATGATGTGGTCCTGTTGGCTTCATCAGATCGTGATCTGCAGCGAGTGTGAAGCGGCCGGGATGAGGCTCAGTGCCTCCAAATCCGAGGCCATGGTCTTGAGCCGGAAAAGGGTAGAGTGCCTTCTCCGGGTCAGGGGGGTTGTCCTGCCTCAAGTGGAGGAGTTTAAGTATCTGGGGATCTTGTTCACGAATGAGGGAAGAAGGGAGCGGGAGATCGACAGGCGGATTGCCGCAGCGTCTGCTGTGAAGCGGGCGCTGTACCGGTCCGTCGTGGTGAAGAGAGAGCTGAGTGAAACAGCGAAGCTCTCGATTTACCGGTCGATCTACGTTCCCACCCTCATCTATGGTCATGAGCTTTGGGTCATGACGGAAAGAATGAGATCCCGGATACAAGCAACCGAAATGGGTTTCCTCCTCAGGGTGGCTGGGCTCTCCCTTAGAGAGAGAAGCTCGGTCATCCAGGAGGGACTCAGAGTAGAGCCGCTGCTCCTCCACGTCGAGAGGAGTCAGCTGAGGCTCGGCCATCTGGTCAGGATGCCTCCTGGACGCCTCCCTGGGGAGGAGTTCAGGTCCCACCGGGAGGAGGGGAGACCCAGGACACGCTGGAGGGACGATGTCTCTCTGCTGGCCTGGGAACGCCTTGGGGTTCCTGGAGGAGCTGGAAGATGCTGGAGAGGGACGACTGGGCCTTCTTACTTAGGCTGCTGCCCCCACGACCCGACCCCGGATAAGATGGATGGATGGATGGATGGAACCAGCTAAGAGCTGCAAACATTAATCTGATTAATGAAATAATCAGCTAATGTAGAAATTGATTAATCATTAACTGGTGAATGCGGATTCAGCAAAAGACGATCAGCTGAGAGGAAACCAGATAAATAAAATCTAAACATTTTGCTTTAAAAAAGAAAAAGTTCCTTTATCTGTAAATCTGTCGCTGTGAATGATCAAACGCTTCCTAACAGAAAGCTGCTGGTGACTGTCGGACAATAAATGTTGATTTTCTGATTTAAAATAAGAAACTAATTATTTGTTCATGTGCATTTTTAATGTGTCATATCGTTTTAAACAGGTTTAAATAGCCAAAATTTGCATCTATTTTATCCAAATAATCAATCAGAATTGATTAATCTTCAGAGTAGTCGATTAATCGCCAGCAACTGATTAACCAATAATCGATTAACTTTCAGAGTAACTGTCCCACCTGGATTTTCTGGGTTCAGGAGGATTTAAAGATGGCGGTACAAACAGGAACTTCCTGCTCAGCTGGAGGTTTAAATCTCTGCCATCTGGGTCCAAATGTGATCAGTACCAGAATTTTTCCTGCAGTGCTTAAACTCCGGAGACGAGGATGAAGATCAGACTGATGATTTGGTCTTCCTCCTCCTCATCCTCACTGCTGCCTGTCCTCTCTCAGGTCCTTCTGAAGAGGAAGAGGAGGCTGCTACTCAGGATGAAGCTCTGAGGAAGAGGGCGAAGAGGAGGAGGGATCTCAGTGAAGCCGGTTCGGTCCGGTCCAACCCGAGGAGGAAGAGGAGGATGGGGAAGGAGCAGGAGCTTCTCCAGGCGGTGAAGAGCGGAGACCTGCTGTCCACCCAGAAGCTGCTGACCCGGCTGAGGACCGGCAGGAACAGTGAGTCCAACGCTGACGGGTCGGGTTCTGGGTTCTGGGTTTGGTTTTAAATGATGTGAAGTTCTGATTGGACTTCCTGTCGTAGTTTCGGTTCTGGAAGCAGAAAACGTTTTCCAGTTGGGAAGGTTCTGTACCGGGTCCGTTAAAGGCAGATAAAAGTCTGGCTTCAGAATCCAAAACAAGCTCGTTAAAAGGTTAAAGGTCGACAGAATAAAGGTTTAGTTTACAGAATAAAGGTTTAGTTTGCAGAATAAAGGTTTAGTTTACAGAATAAAGGTTTAGTTTACAGAATAAAGGTTTAGTTTACAGAATAAAGGTTTAGTTTGCGAGCCGGAGGGGCTGAGCTGAAGATGTGCAGGAAGCAGAAACTGGATGGATGATGGATGTTCCATGTTGAATCCATTAAAATGTTTTTTTATTTGTTTTACAAAATAAAACCAATCTGCTTTCTGTCACCTCCATCTTGGATTACAAAAACATTTTGACTCATTTTGGTTTTTCTGAAGCTGACAAGCTTTGCTGGGTTCAAAGGTCATGAAGATGGAGAAGGTCAGGAACAGCGCTAGTGGGCAGAGCCAGTCAGCTCAGCTGTGAACATTTTTACAATTCTTCACTAAAAAACTCCAAAAACCTCTGATGGAAATGTGAACGTCGCCGCCTGTCTGCAGAAAGGTGGCGCTGTCTCCCTGTAATGATCTGTTAAAACACAATGGAGGACGGAGGGAGGTAGAGGGGAACGCGTTAATGTTTTTATTTCAGTCTGGAATAAATCCGGACGATCCTTTGATAAACTGAAGCAGAAATTATTGTTAATAATCCAACTGGATTTTCCCTCCACCAGCCAGCCGCAAAGCACATGGTGACAGTGGGACGAAAAGACTCCCTGTAATGTGAATAAAGCAGCGACCTTTGACCCCCAGCTGATGTTCTGTTGATTCTGGTTCTGATCTGTAACATGGAGGTGAATCCAGGCGTTCTGATCCGGTTCTGACCGGTTGCAGCGACTGAACCGAGGAGGAAGTGACCAGTGAAGCTCCAGTTTCCACTTCCTGTTTTTGGAAAAGCGCGGCTTCGGAAGCTGAGCTCGCCTGGAGTCGGATTCCCGCCTCGGAGCCGGGATGGAAAAACATTCCTGCAGGATGACATCAGCAGCCGAGTGAGGAGCTGGGACAAAGGCTGGGCCAGGTCGGGGGCGGGTCTTCATCAGCTTCAGCTTCATCTTCATCAGCTTCATCTTCATCAGCTTCATCACTCTGAAGCTTCCCGTCGGATTCTTCAGCTCCTTCCTGATAGTTTGTTTCTCACGTCATTAAAAGTTTATTTCGTGTTAAAATTCCACTTTTCCTTCAGCTCCTCATTAAATCTGTATCTTTAACACGTTTCTGTGGCAGCAACAATTTTAATGAATAAATTAAAGCAAAACGATCGAGGAAGACGAGGAGGAGGAAGATCGGCTCTATATAAATAAAAATGAACCAGAAGGAGAAAATTAGTGCTGGGACTTGATTCAAATTTTTAATTGAGGGTCAGAAAGTAATTATTCACAAACAATGAAATAAATGAACAATCAGTTCATTTCAAAACCTTTTTGTTGGTGAATATTTTAATAAGTAGATCTGAGCTGAACATCAGACATTTCTATAGCTTTAATTGGACTGAAGTTTTGTTCTAACGTTTCAATTTTTCTGTTTTTTTCAGCATAAAAATGTTGATGGAAAAACGGCTAATTTCATAAAAAACGTTTTAAGAGTTTGGTCAGAACTAGCATGGCCATCAGTTGGAAACAGACTTAGTCACCGTGTTTTTAAATATCACATTAGAAAAAGTTGATGAAAACGTAAAAAAATTTAAATAATGTTTGTGCGATAACTTGAGGTAGTTTTTGGTTTTTCAGAAAACCGATAATGTACTAAAGATGGAAACGTTAGCTGAATAAGTTCGAATGCTGCCATCTGCTGGTGGATCTGAGCCTCACCAGCGACACCACAGTCTGCTCCATGCTAGCTACCGACCGCTACTTCCTGTTTACCATGCGTAGCATCAACATCTGATGACATCACGCTAGCCTGGTTGATCCATTTCAAACAGGAAGTGGAAACACACCTAATTCATATTTCCCTTTTTTCTTTTTTGCGACATTTTCAACGTGAGCTGGAAGCTAGCGTGACGTTCGGATGGAAACATGGCGGCTGCCGCGGAGCGGAGGAATGCTGGTGTTTCCCTCTCCGGAACGCGTCGGATCGATCCCGACCTCAGGTTCTGATCTGGATCTGTAGGGAGATCACCAAACCTTCAGAACGAACCCAAACCAGTGAACAGAACCAGAACTTTCGGTTCGGAACGTCTTTCCTCCACCATTCACAGCTTGCTGAGAGCTAGCACTGCAGAATTTAGCAAGCAAACACCATCAGTTGAAGATGACTTCTGACCTATGATCCCGCAGCTGAACTCGGCCTGAAGCTGAACCAACATGGAGTCCAAACATCTCAGCAAGAACCAGACAGGCAACGATTCTTAGCACAACACCTGCACATCGTTTACAGCAGCTCGATCCGATGAAACCCGATCTGCTTGTCCTCCATGTGTGGAACTGAAGCGTCTGAGCGAGTTTGCCATCATTGACGTCAGAGTTCAGCAGCAGAAGAATCCAGACGGTAAATCTAAACAGTGATAATGAACTGATGGCACCGGGAGTCCGTGAACGCATCACAGTCCCAATTAATTAGCAGATTGAATGACAACGCAAAAAACAGATTCATCATAAAATGGTGACAAAACATCAGCAGCGGAGAGGTTTTATTCACGTCTGGTTCTGGTTCTGCTGATACCAGCTCAGGATGAATCCTGACGTTAGTTTGGAAACCTGAACATTTGGACCATTTGGAGTTGCGCGTTTGTCCTACAGCGCCCCCTGGTAGGGTTACAGGGAACTTGAACAGCCGTGATTTGGGTCATTCAGCGATAAATTAGAGGGAACATGGCGGTTCATTTTTCAGTCACCGTGTTATTAAGTTATCTATAAATGTCACAGATTTAAACTGAATATTTAATGAGCTCAAAACTATTAAATTTCTCCCTAAATATTTGGCTAGCAAGCTAAATCTTTAGCTCCCCACCATCGTCTTCCTGTCAGCCGTGACCCCTCGGTGACCTTTATGTTGTTTTCATTCCCGCTGTGCGTTCAGGCGTTGGGTCTGTTCGGTTCTGATCCGGCCTCCGACCTCCCGTTTCCCTCCTGGTCTCTAACCGGGTCAGGACATGGTTCTGTCTGAGGATCTATTGTCAGGGCGAGAAGCCGAAGCGGACCGGGACGTTTCGGACCCATCAGAATCAGCTGAGAGTCCGGATCCACTGGTCCAGGTCCGTGTTCAGGGAGTTCCCGTCAGGAAGCGAGTCCAGGATGTCTGAGCGCGCGGGGCGTCGCTCTGTAACCCGACCGTGACTCTGGATACGAGGGAGCAGAACCCCCCTCCCCGACATATTTCCTTTCCCAAACTGATTGTTCCTCAGAGCGGGGTGGGGGTGGCGTGGGGCAGATGGGGCAGTAGGAGTGCAGGGGGGGCATTGTTCTGCCCCGGCCCCTCCCAGGCAGCGGCTCACACATGGAGCTGTCTGGAACTGAACACTTCATTCTCTCTGTGTTGGGAATAATGGCCTGGTTCCAGTCCAGATCTGCTCTGATGGAACCGGCCCGGTTCCGGTCCAGAACATCCGACCAAGCTGATCCATCAGAACCATCACTCAGTCTGTTCAGTGCAGAGTGAAGATGGTTCTGACCCAGTAGAACATCCAGAACCTTCTGGGTCTCCCACTGGTGGAGGACTTCCTGGTTTCTGACAAGTCAGAGAGCAGAGACATGCCCACTTTCTCTTCTCTGATTGGTTCTGGAGAAAGTGGACCTGGAGGTTCTGTTCAACCCATCAGCTCTCCCAGAAAAGGTGGGAGTCACCATGGCAACCAGTAGCTGAGCACTGCCACTCAGCAACTTCCTGTTTCAAACTGAAGGACGGTAGAGAACTGGCCCCTGGTTCTGTTGGACCAGAACCGACTCGTCTCCAGTCCAACAGGGAGGCGATACCACCACTTGTTCTCCAGAGTGGAGGACGGGCTCAGATAAGACGGCCCCGGTCCGGCTGAGTGTTCCTGTGCCAGGTTCTGAAGGCCAGACCTGGAAGGGGACGAGGCGGTACCGCTGTGTTTCCAATCGGACCTCAGAATGACTCCGTCAAACAGCAGCGAGGGAGCCTTCGCTCTCAGAGATCAGAACTGGGTCAACAGAACTGGTGGGCCCTTGAGAAAAGCCCAGATGTTGGTTCTGATCTGGAGGCCAAAAGGAAAAGATCCACAGGTTGAGCTGGACAACCGAGTTTGGTCCTGGTTCTGGTCCCTGGTCCTGGTTCTAGTTCTGGTCCCTGGTTCTGGTCCCTGGTTCTGGTCCCTGGTTCTGGTCCCTGGTCCTGGTCCCTGGTCCTAGTTCCTGGTCCCTGGTTCTGGTCCCTGGTTCAGGTTCTGGTCCTGGTCCTGGTCCTGGTGTCTGGTTCTGCTCCCTGGTTCTGGTCCCTGGTCCTGGTTCTGGTCCTAGTTCCTGGTCCCTGGCCCTGGTTCTGGTCCCTGGGCCTGATTTTGGTCCTAGTTCCTGGTCCTGGTCCTGGTCTCTGGTTCTGCTCCCTGGTTCTGGTCCCTGGTCCTGGTTCTGGTCCTAATTCCTGGTCCCTGGTCCCTTCTTTGGCCCTGGTTCTGGTCCCTGAGCCTGATTCTGATCCTAGTTCCTGGTCCTGGTCCTGGTCCTGGTCTCTGGTTCTGCTCCCTGGTTCTGGTCCCTGGGCCTGATTCTGGTCCTAGTTCCTGGTCCCTGGCCCTGGTCTCTGGTCCCTGGTTCTGGTCCTGGTGCTAGTTCCTGGTCCCTGGTCATGGTCCTGGTCCCTGGTCCTGGTTCTGGTTCCTGGTCCTGGTGCCTGGTTCTGCTCCCTGGTTCTGGTCCCTGGTCCTGGTTCT